GGGTAAAAATTTTGGACGCTAATTAAAATCAGCGTCAAACGATTAAAAGCAGCGGTTCCCGCTGCCGTAGCCGCCTGCGGCGACGAAACGAACAACAATCTGCGGTAATGTTTGCCGCCGCCGCCGCTGACGAAACGAACATACTACTAGTAAAAAAAGATTAATTATTACCAGAGGATTAAAAGTAAAAGTTAACACTTTAAGATCAACTTTGTCATGTATATATTGATTATTTTTTTTCAAATAAAAATCTTCCGAGAAATGTTAACATCAAAATTTGCTTAGGCATGATTGTAATGGTACGGGTTAACATAACATTATTTTATCATACATGAATTACAGTACTCTTCCATCAAAATTAACCAATTATGTGTTCATATATATTAACATTATTGAAATAACTCTAGAAAAATCACATAATCACACAAGTATTATTTGGTTGATAGTAAGAATCAGGATAGGCATAGGCAGGATTGTATTGGTTCTGATAATTCATCGGAGCCGCAATATTTTCAGTCGGTTTAGCTGGAGCTGGTTTAGGTGGAGCCGGTTTCTCCGGTTCAGGCTTTTTCTCAGGTGGTTTAACTACTTCAACAGAAACAATCTCTGTATTACATAGCTTCCTTAGCTTCATCACGATAATTGGCACATCAATTTCTCCCACTACCGTCAGTTTCCCGGTTTTGTCATCCATAGTTATCGAAGTAACACCTATATTAGAAAAATATTTCATGAATAAAAATTTATTTCCCCTCCCACAATATCATTCTACAAATTTAGAAAAGTAACTTACAAAGATACCTGTAAATCCAGCAACGGTCACAAACACTTTCGTCCTGATTTTCTCCTTGTCAATAATCAATTGCAACACAGCTTTCTGTCATTTCAAACAAGAGATTAGTATGGCTAGTTGCATAGTTTCGACTTACTATAGCAATAGTTATATAGTATAACATATATATATATATATAAATGATTAATCAACGCATAATAATTTAAAGAGAGCTAAAACGAGATAAAGGTGTGTACCTTCGCGGCCATGGCTCAAGAAAACTATGGAAAAGCTTCAGAAATATTCAAAGAGAGGTATAGATTGAGACACCGATCGAAGAAGTGATTAGCCCCAAAGTTATTCAATAGACTTATTTATACAAAGTTATAACTTGATAAACAAGTTTTTGACATATATGATTATAGGAAACCTACCTATTTAACAATAAGGCAATATTACACAAATGTTAACTTTTCTAATAACAATATGGAAATATGTTTAATTTGAACTCGTAATCTCGGAGATCTCCTAACACTTCTTGATGATAATTGCGTCAAATGATATCTGTTTAGATATAAATTTGCGTAGGAATTTCAAATTTGCACTTATTTATTCCCTTAAATATATGACCCACAAGTATTTTGTATTTTTACATATCAATTAGCATTGCGAACGACCACAAAAACGAGTAGAGTAGTAATTCTCTCTATTGATTTGTTTTGAGTATTTTTCACGAGTTGGTTGAAACTAGAATTTCGGTGTAACGGAATTAATAGGAAGTAGTAATTAGAATCCCGCGTGCAAGGCAGGCCATTTATTGACTCTTTGGTCACGTAAGAACTTATCACGCAAGTTATCTAGAGTTTTTGGAAAAGTTGAATCACATAGAAACAAAAGCTGAAATCAAAATCAAACCGAGATAGAAGTCATAACGGTTCTTTTATAATCTTTTAATTATGTTGAAGAGAGCGGAAAGAGAAGGGTTCAATGTTCTTCTCGCTTTGTCTCTATATATTGTAGCAATGTTGACTTATAAGAGTCAAACGAAGAAGAATTCAAAGCTGTCCAGAGGAAAATTGAAAGAGAAGCCGAGGACAACGAGTGGTTTGTATGAATGATCTAGGTTCAGTTTTTTGGTCCTTTTTTTCTTTTTTCTTTTTCAAAAGCTTTGTTTCTATTACAAGATCAAGTGGTTACATAACGGAAGAGTTTAGTTAAGTACTCAAAGAGGAGGATGAGATAGTAAGTGTTCTCTCCATGAAAGAGGAATGTTGCATCAATAAATCTCCATAAAGGAGGGAAGTGCAGACAGGAAACCCTTAAGGTCAAGTATATAGCGATTTTGGGCTCTATAGGACTTATCAAAGACATGTCACTGAAGCTTAACTGTTTTCCATTGTAATTGAAACCATACCAGAATTAGCACAACTCTGAATTGTGGTTGCTGGATTGGGACAAGTAGGACTTGCTTCAGAAAATACATTTTCAAATTCACGTTTTATATGATTTATATTCCTATTTTAATCGTCCATGCGAAGGCACAACGGCGATATTAAAATAATCCACTAAGATACAACTTTTAGCTAAGATTCACATATCACAAATTGTTGAATTAACATAATATTTTGACAAAGATTGCAACATAAATAGTTGAATAACACAAGATGATGCTTAGTTTCAAAATTCATCTAAATATACAATCCAATAAATGATTTAATACATCTTAAAGCCATATGGATTTTGACATATATTTTTTTTTTTTTAAATCCAAGGGGACATAAAACAATATTTTAAAATACACAAACCAATGAACTCTCTTAATAATTTTCATTTTTTGAGCCAGAATTTAGAACTTAGTTAATCGAATAATATAACATAACATTTTGACAAATATTAAAGAACTAGTGTAGCAAAAAAAATTTTTTTTAGAAAAAGTTAACAATCCAATAAACAAACTACCTAAAAGTAAAACATCCTATTTTTTGTTTATGTTTTTGGTTTATATTTCAAAATTATTAATAGAGTACACCAAATTTTCATTTTTATCTAAATCTATTGTGTAAATAATATTAATTAAGTAACACAAGATTTGTATTTCGTAATTAACACAATTCATAAATCTAAAGTTCTAAGATTTTTGGCGATTCATATTAAATTTGTTTTGGTAAGAAGACTTGAATAATTCTTCATTTCAGAGTCAAGAAACGAAATATACTCGTAAGCATCATTCCACATGTTGACCCACCACGTCACGCTAGACTTTTGCTTAGTCTTTATTTATTGTTTCGTTTTGTTATAGAAGACTTTTCGGATCTTGACTTTTTCCATATCTCTTTTTTTCATACTCGCTAATTGTTCAAAATTATTTTTATATTTAGACAATCGAATGTGTTACGTGAACGATCTTGATTCTTGATGTTCATGAGTCAAGAAGGAGTTGAGAACGACTTAACTATCTATGTGTCATGTGTGTATATATACATAATTATATATTATCTTTATTAATTTGTATCCAAAATTATGATCCCATGCATTCAACCAATATGTATTAGCAGTATACTAGCTTGAGACCAAATATAGAATATATTCCGCATAGGAGACAACAAGTCTACGTAAATGAAACCACAAGGGAAAAAAAAAGAAAACTAATTATTACTATTTTTTTTTGTAATGACTAATTATTAATTACTATATGATTAAACGTAAAAGTTGATAAAGCGTATTAAGATTAATTTTGTCATACAGAAATTGTTTTATTTCTCTGAATAAGCTCACACGAGAAATGTATATTACATTATCTAAGAATAATACACTTTTCCATCAAAATAGTAAGTTTTAAATGACAACATTATACGAAATGACTCTAGAAAAAATTACATAATCACACAGTTTGGTTCATCTACTACTCTACAATTCCCGTATGGTTGATAATAGTAAGAATTTGCATAGGCATGATGAGGATTATATTGGTACGCGTAGTTCATCGGATATGTAATAAATTCAGCCGGTATAGGTGGAGCTGGTTTCTCCGGTTCAGGCTTTTTCTCAGGTGGTTTAACATCATCTACCGAAACGATATCTGTGTGACATAGCTTCCTCAGCTTCATCACGATAACCGGTACATCAACTTCTCCAACTACCGTCAATTTCCCACTTTTGTCATCCATTGTTATCGAAGTAACCCCTATACATATATTAAAAAAAAAAAACAAATCATGAATAAATGTTTATGATCCCAACAATATCATGTTACAAATTTCTAATATAGATTTTATAAAAGATACCTGAAAATCGAGAAACGGTAACAATCGCTTTCTTCCTGATTTTCTCCTCGTGAATACTCAATTGCAACACAGCTTTCTGTCATTACAAATCAGAAATCAGTATGGTTAATTGCATAGTTTCAAACTTTCAATGTAAAAAAAATGATAATTATATAGTTAGAATAGTATGTGTACCTTCGCAGTCATGGCTCGAGAAACTACTCCAGAAATTCGGATATTTTGTTTTCTTAAGGAGAGAAAGAGTAGAGATAAATTGAGATATGGAAGCTTCTTGATGACATATTGCAAGTCTTATGATATATATATATATATATATATATATAAAGAAATTGCGTAGGAATATGCGAGTATGACCCCAAAAAGTTGTAAAGACTAAAGAGTAAAGTAGTCATTCTATATTATTTTGGTTGTAACGAAATCATACGGAAGTGTAACATTCAGAATGCCGCGTGTACGACCCGGTCGACCCGGACCATTTGTGACTCTATTGACTCTTTGGTCACATAAGAAATTCTCAGGAAAGTTCTCTACAGTGTGTTCTTGGAAAAGTTGAATCATACCAAAACCAAAAGATAAAATTAAATCGAAATCAAACCGAGATTTAAGTCACAATTGTTCTTTTATAAATTTTAAAGATGTTATGAAGAGATGAGAGGAAAGATAAGTTTGATTCAATGTTATCGTTAGTTGTTTCTCTCTAGTTATCATGATATAGCAATGCCTAATCAGAGCCACACGAAAATAATTCGAAGCTGCCAAAAGAAAAGTTGAAAGCGCGAGATCATCGAGGCAGTCAAGAAGAAAGTAACAAGTAGCAAAATCTTTAACAACAACAACAACAAAAAGGTAACAAGTAGTAGTTTGTGATCTCTAGGTTTTGTGGTTGTGATGGAAACGAATATTTGTCTAAATTAGATCACATGTTTGTTTCTTGAGGTTAAATTATTGTTACCGCGAATATTTGATAAAATTTGGAACAATACAAAGAAGGTTAGCATAAGGACGACACACTAATCGAGAAATTGTTCAAATTTTAAGAAAATAATAATTGTTCGGAAAGAATGTATGTGAATCTCTATCGTAATTATACTCTCTCCATTTTGCTATATGTGACTCATAAACAAGACAGTGTTTTATCTGAGAGAAAGAGAAGCATCATAGGGAGAGATGAGTATATTTAGTATATTCATTTCTCTGAATTTTAGATTAACTGACTCTCGTAAACATTTTTCCTCCTAATTGAGTAACCAATCATGAAGTTATTTTTTAATTAATGTATGGTTGACAAAAAAAAAAGATTAGTTGACTCTCCTACTACGTCAAATTGTCTATTTTTGATTGATGCGTTAGTGTATAAAATATAGAAGTAGAGCTGTAGAGATCTTTAATCTCACTAAATATATAAAAGATTTACTAAATACTTCCATTTTTAATATACTCACACGTTTCTTTTTTTTTTTTTTTTTTTTTTTTTTGAATGAATGTAAAAATATATTCAACCAAAAAAGCCATGTGTACAATGAATGCATCTGTTTTTTTTAAAAAATTAGATAGAAGACATTAAAGGCAGAATATAGAGTTTAGAGAAGTGTCAAGGTCTTGTTTATGGAATTGATTGAGTAGAGAACCACAAGCTTAGGCCGTCACCGTATCGATGATCTCCCAAGTCTTTGATAGCGCTGATGCGATTTCGAACGGTCTCACACGTTTCTTTAATTTGTCTGATACACTATCATTTAAAGATACTTAAATTATCCAATTATACCAGCAATTCCTTTATGCAGTTTTTCATGGTACGCGGTTCCACGGACGACTCTTCAACGAACAATTATATCCGCATCACGGTAAATAGTTCTCATTGCATCATACTCACGTATAAAACTTTTCTCTTAAACAGACAAAACTTCATCGAATGGTTCTACCTTGCATCATACTAGTATAGCACATTTCTTACTCACAATTCTTTGTCCCAAAAAAACAAATTCTCAAAAAAAAAATCATAATTTTATTTTGTAACTTAAAAATATTAATAGAATAACACAAAATTTTAATTTATATTTTAAGCGATTGATTAAATAACACATAATTTAAACTAAAATCTTAGAAGTCAAGACTAAAAGTAACACAAGAGTTTCGTTAGATCTCAATATCAACTCAATGCATGAATCCAAAAATTTAATTTTTTTTAATTTTTTTTGTGTGATTCATATTAGCAAAATGATAAGAAGACTTGAATAATACTGCCATTTCATAGTCAAGAAAGGAAATGCCCTCGAAAGCCACAATTTACATGTGGATCCCTCCAAGTAGGAATCTTCTAGGAAATTTTACTTATTATTTGTTATTTTGTTTTGTTAAAGGAGACTTTCCGATCTTGACTCTCTCCATCACAACTTTACTAATATCTCATTCTCCAATAATTGTTTCAAAATTATTTTAGTTTTGGACAATCGAATGTATTACGTGAACGATCTTGATTCTTGATATTCATAAATGAGTTGAGAGCGACTTAACTATGTGTGTGTGTGTTATATTTTTGTATCTAATTGATTAGAATACTAGCAAAAGACAAAGTATAGAGAATATTCTCTTGATGAAAAAAGATCAAATATTACTAGATGATTACAAGTAAAAGTTAACAAAACAAGATCAATTTTATCACACAGTAACATAATTTTTTTCCGAATAAGCTCATATGAGAAATGTATATATAGCTCAAAAAATTACACTCTTCCATTAAAACTAACTTAAACATTATTTGAAATAACTCTATAAAAATCACATAATCACACAATTTGATTCGTCCGTTACAAATCTAGAATTGCCGTATGGTTGATAGTAAGAATTTGCATAGGCAGGATTGTATTGGTAAGGGTTGTTCATCTGAACCGGCCAGGCAACAATTTCACCCGGTTTAGCTGGAGCTGGAGCTGGTTTAGGTGGAGCCGGTTTCTCCGGTTCAGGCTTTTTCTCAGGTGGTTTAACAACTTCAACCGAAACAAGCTCTGTGTTACATAGCTTCCTTAGCTTCATCACAATAACCGGTACATCAACTTCACCAACTACAGTCATTTTCCCGGTTTTGTCATCAATTGTTATCGAAGTAACACCTATATATTAAAAAAAAAAACATGAATATAAGTTCATTTTCCCAAATAAATATCATTTTATAAATTTTGAAATGTAATTAATAAAGTTACCTGGACATCTAGAAACAGTAACAAACGCTTTCTTCCTGATTCTTTCCTCGTGAATGCTCAATTGCAACACAGCTTTCTGTCATTCCAAATGAGAGATCGGTATTGTTAATTACATGTTTTCAATCTAATTAACATAACTATATATAGTCAAATAATATTCATATAAAACGATTAATCAACGCATAATTATTTTAAGAGATATAAAAGGAAAAAGAGGGCGTACCATCGGAGGCATGACTCGAGATCAACTATAGCAAAGCTTCAGAAATTTCCGATATTCTTAAGAGAGAGAGAGAGAAGAGAGATAATCTAAGATATGAAAGTTTTGATGATGACAATAGCAAGTCTAATGAAATCAGTTTATATAGAAATTTCTAAGGAATTTGCAAGTGTTATTATATTAAATATTATATGACCCACAAGGGAAAGTTTTTGTCCTTTTCAATAACAATAGTCTTGAATCGACCAAAAAAAGGTTAAAGTAGTCATTCTTTATCAATTTTATAAAAAAAATTATGATTTGGTTGAAAATTAATCTCAGTGTAACGAAAGCGAACGGAAGTGTAGTAGTATTCAGAATTCCGCGTGTACGACCCGGACAACGTTAATTTTGGTGGACCTTATTGACTTCTTCGGTCATAAGAACTTCTCAAGCAAGTTCTCTAGGAAATAGTTGAATCATATCAAAACCAAAGCTGAAATCGAAATCAAACCGAGATTAAAGTCAGAAAGTTTCTTTCATAAAATCTGTTTTAAGGATGTTGGATCTTTTTTTACCTCTTAAGTAGCTTCTTCTTTCTAAACTTTCTAAACAAAGTTGAATTATTGTGTTTATTTACTTTAATCAATTAAGAAAAAAAATTAGTTCATTTATAATCTTTAGATATCTAATTTAATTACTTAAGAAACAAAAATTAGACATATAACCTAGTGATTTGTGCTAACATCTTAATCTAAATTTAAATGCATGTTATTAACAAGAATTTTTTTTAAGAGATATACTGGGCCTGGGAGTGGCAATCTTGGTCTTGTTTAGTGTATAATGGACTGGACTCGAACAGTTAAAACAATCACAACAGAACAAAACCAAAGACTACGACGAAACTGATGAGTGTACCAAAATATGTTTTTCAAGAGATGACGCAAGCATAGGGATCTTCATTGTAACATCCGTTGAAATGATGGTAATAAGGTGGATATGGAGGGACACAATTATAAATCACATCTGGTGGTTTCGTTTCGGCTTCTTTGGATCATCAGGCTTCTTTTTCTCTGGTTCTTTAACCGGTCCAACCGAGATAAACTCGGTATGACATATCTTCTTCAATTTCTTCACAATCATATAGGCATCAATCTCTCCTGTCACCGTTAGTTTACCGTCTTTCACGTCCACCGAATTAACTCCTTCATTACAAATCAAAATATAATTATGACTAACCAATTTTTTAAGAGAATTTGTGAGGCTTAAAAGTAAAATAAAATTAGATTAACACAATTGATGAGTGTTCGTGTACCTGAGAGACAACAGACCGTTGACATAGCTTTTTTTTTGGTTCTTTCACAATGAACATCCAGTTTCAGTACAACTACCTGTCATGATAATATTAAATATGAATAAAGAGCTAATTAGGATAGCATTATGACATTTGATATATTGCTAATTTCTACATATATAAGCAATATATAAAAATATCGGAAAATATGTACATATATTATAACAAGCTTTCAATGAAGTAAAATAGATTAGGAAAAGATAAAGAATTGAACCTGCATTTTCTTCAATTAGTGTTTGGAAAATATGTAAAAGTCGTGGATTAATTGCTAATGAGCATTGAAAGTGTCCCTTCTTTAGTCCTTTATATAAGCAGTTGCAAGTTGCAGGGCAAGAAAAAAGACAAGGATAATAACACCAATTTTCTTTCAACGTTGAAAATGAAAAAAAAATCGAGTATGTCTTAAGTGTTATTTGGTGTAACTTCTACACACATATACAATAATTATAAATATAGTTAGACCACCTCCAAAAAAAGGCAATATATTGTATGTTCCAAATTTTTCTCTCAGGCCCGACTCCCGATACCCCCTCAAAGAAGTTAGAGTTTTCAAAATTTCCAGATCTCACCCACTTTATTTTGCTATTTTCGGAAACTCTTCTCCATCTTCTTACCCTAGATGACTTCTCCGGTGCCTTTTACCTCCTTCTCCGGTGACTTTTGGCTCCTCTGTTAGCCAAACTCTTCCCCTTACGAGCCCCTCTCGTGTCTTGGTGTTAGCTCACTAGTTTACTGCAGTTTGCAGACCGGTTTTCTTACTCTTCCGAGTCCATCTCGGCCTTTTCAAGATTTACAAGGTCTTCTCTTGCTCAGTGTAACGTTTCTTCTCAATCCCTGTTACTATGACGCATCGATTTACTAGATCGGAGAAGGAAAAATGGGTGGCTGGAACCCTCAAAAGTGCTCGCCGCAGATCTCCGGTGCGGATACCACAATGTGATACCTCAGCTCTCATTGAGGAAAACAAGTTTACCCTTATTGGGAGAGTCACAAACCCCTCTGTTCAAAAACCTAAAGCAGTTGTGGGTTATATGCCCCAGCTCTGGAACCTGGAAAACAGGGTAGTGGGCAGAGACCTTGGCTCTGAGTGTTTTCAGTTTCGCTTTGAGAATGATGCGGACCTGCAGTCTGTTCTTAGGAGAGGTCCTTACCACTTCAAAAACTGGATGCTCATACTCCAGCAGTGGGAACCTATCATCTCAGATACCTTTCCCGCCTTCATCACCTTTTGGATTAAGATCCATGGCATTCCACTTCATTTCTGGTCAGACCAAACTATCCGA